CCCGAGACCGTAGACTCGGCCAAAAATTCCACGTAGACCTATAAAACGGGGTCAGGTAGCTGTTTGCCAAGGCGAGACTCTGCCCCTCGACATAGCCTTGTCTGTTATCTTCTCTGCCCGGAGGCAGATAGTTTGACCACCACAGTTGGAGACAAATCACCAACTGTAGGATATCTACGAACCGCCCCACGCGGTCAGATGTGGCGTAAGACCGAATTTAATGTGGGGTATCGGAGCCCGTAAGATCGGCCAAAAATTACCCGTAGACGTTGTATAAAAGTCAGGTAGCTGTTTCTCGAGATGAGAATCTGCCCTTCGACATAGCCTCGTCTGGGGATCCTCTCTATCCGGAGGCAGAGAGTTTGACCAGAACAGCTGGAGACGAATCTCCAACTGCTGACCAACATACAGTATTTACTACTGTATATGTGATTGGCTACATGACCATTATCGTCCGTAGGTATGCTACAACAGTCTCATTTCGCAAAATGGTCTTTGTTCAAAGTATGAACCCATCACATCTCTCACCCAAGCTATGCTTTAAATAATAAAGTAGACTAGTCTCTATAGCCTTGTATTCAAGCCAGTCAGGGAGAAGGTCATTTCTTAAAGCAAAATAATGAGGAAGGAAACGAGAAGCCAAGACGTTATCTTCCCTAAGACGTCATGGCCGTTCACAGACAAAAAAGAGAGAGAATCTGTGTAGAGACATGATTATCTACGCCATGAAAGAACATTGCATTAAATAAAAAAAGACATCTCGAGGACTCATAAAAAGATAATTTCTAATGAAAGGGTAGCTTTATTATTGACCTCGATTTTAGATTTTAGTCGTTATAAGGTGTGTACAGCAATAAATAGACAATGGTTTTATGCCAGTGAAACACATCGATAGTTGCAGAATAATTTAAGTTTTAAGCAGAAAATAAGTTAAAAATGATTCAACAAAAGCAAGTAAGATTAGATTTATAAACCCAACGAAATAGATATAACAACGTTGGTCGACATAAACAGCATCAGATAGATAGATAGATAGATAGATAGATAGATAGATATGGATAGGTATTAATAACTAATTAGAAAAGAAAGAAAGAAAGAAAGAAAGAAAGAAAGAAAGAAAGAAAGAAAGAGAGAAAGAAAACGGACATAGATAAATAGATAGATAGATAGATAGATAGATAGATAGATAGATAGATAGATAGATAGATATGGATAGGTATTATTAAATAATTAGAAAAGAAAGAAAGAAAGAAAGAAAGAAAACGGGCATAGATAGATAGATAGATAGATATGGATAGGTATTAATAACTAATTAGAGAAGAAAGAAAGAAAGAAAGAAAGAAAGAAAGAAAGAAAGAAAAAGAAAGAAAGAAAGAAAGAAAGAAAACGGACATAGATAGATATGGATAGGTATTAATAACTAATTAGAGAAGAAAGAAAGAAAGAAAGAAAGAAAGAAAGAAAGAAAGAAAGAAAGAAAACGGTCATAGATAGATAGATAGATAGATAGATATGGATAGGTATTAATAACTAATTAGAAAAGAAAGAAAGAAAGAAAGAAAGAAAGAAAACGGACATAGATAGATAGATAGATAGATAGATAGATAGATAGATAGATAGATAGATAGATAGGGAGTAATAACTAATAAGAAAAAAAGAAAGGGAGAAAAGCGGACATAGATAGATAGATAGATACGAATCGAATGTAACAGATAAATGGGAGGATAGATAGATAGATAGATAGATAGATAGATACGAAAATATTTTAAAATGTATATACAGATGCCAGAAGTAGAGATATATTGAGGGATCTTGTGTAATATTGTAGTATAAAGATACTGCGTAATATTTCAGTAATTCTGTATTCCTTTTCATTATCCTTTTTTCATGATCGAATATCGATGACTTAGGATCGGGAAATTGATGTTACATAACAGTTCTTCTCAGACGCCCGTATATTTCTCCTTACAGATAAAAAGCCATTAATGTAATAATGTTCCTCCATTGATGTTCTTTATCTAACCTCACAAAATAATCAACTGCCGGGGTATAGGTACTTTGACAACGGGGACTTCATTCCTACAGCCACAAATCGAATTAACCTCTTTTTATTAGCCTTTTAATTATTGTCAAGGGCTCGGTCGACAAAAGTACGCGTGAATAGATTCCCATAATGTTGAAAACATTTTCGAGATGTGCCGACCCTTAAACAGAACTGATATAGTCATTGATTTGTATTTTTTTTACTCTTTTATTTATTTATTTATTTATTTATTTTGTTCTTAAAGATAACTTCGATTTTCTTTTTTACTATGAAGCTAAAATTTGAAGAACAAAGAAAATGCATCGCTATTTGCTGGCTTTGTTCGTTTTATTATCATATGATTACTGGAATCTCTTGAGATATCAGCCATACACGCAGTCGCACAGAAAATAGATAGATAGATAGATAGATAGATAGATAGATAGATAGATAGATAGATAGATAGATTGCATTGCAAAATATATAACATAGAAAAAGTATATATTATGTGATGCTCTATAGTAGTTTATCATAAAGAATATATATATATATATATATAGATAGATAGATAGATAGATAGATAGATAGATAGATAGATAGATAGATAGATAGACAGAAGACAAAAAATATATAACATAGAAAAAAGTATGTATGTGATGTTCTATAATGAGTTTATCATATATATATATATATATATATATATATATATATATATATATATATATATATATATATATATATATATATATATATATAGAGAGAGAGAGAGAGAGAGAGAGAGAGAGAGAGAGAGTTTCAGAATGGGATAAAAGATATATACATTTAGGATCAAAATCGGGTAGATATGATCAGACTTGGATAGATAGACAGATAGATAGATAGATAGATAGATAGATAGAAAGAAAGAAAGAAAGAAAGAAAGAGAAAGAAATACATAGATAGATATAAATAGAGGTAACAATTAAATAGATGGATAGAAAGAAACACATACACACACACACACATATATATATATATATATATATATATATATATATATATATATATATATATATATATATATACATATATAGATAGATAGATAGATAGAAACAGTATGCATATCTATAAGCATTTAATTCACACCGCAAATATGAATTTTTTCAATACTTCTTCACATTTTATCAACTCGTAATTATAAATCGGGTGGCATGGTGGAGTAGTGGGTAGCGACTTGGTATGAGGAATCGGATAGCCGAGTTCGAAATCGAGTTGAATCCATTACGTGTTAGTACCCTTGGGAAAGCTATGCATCTTCTTCTTTTCCCCCCAGCTATGAGTAAATAGCAGGACAGACCGGGTTCTATAGCCTTGGATTGCAACTGGTCTACAGCAGAAAGAAATGGTAAACTACTGCAGGAAACAATCTGTCTCGTCAGTCATGTATCGAAAGATACATGATCACCTACGCGTGTATCACGCATGGCATATAACTGACTGAATTATAAATCGAACATTACATATTGACAGTTTCTGCTCAAATCTAGGCAACGGGTTAAGATTATTGATTAACCATGAGAATGAGGTGGATAGATAGAATATATTAAAAGATATAAATATAAGATAACAGAAAAAAGATTTATATCCTGCGATAGTTTATCATAAAAAAGATAGATAAATAGATTGATAGATAGATTTGAAAAGTCGCAAAGAAAGAAAGAAAGAAAGAAAGAAAGAAAGAAAGAAAAGTGAAACGAATCAGAAAGAATCTTTCAATTTGGGCTGGAGATAAAAAAAAAAACGAAATCGAGGTCTTTGAATTCTTTTCTCTTTCTGTTTCTTCACCCGTTTTTCAATAACCCGTTTCTACTTCTACGACGACGCAAAGCATAAAATGAAACGCCGTTAAAGACACCGGAGCTTATAAACAAGTGAAATATTAATGCACGCTTAGAACCGAATGAAAACCAAAAAAAAAAAATAATGAATAAAATAAAACATTTCCAGAAGTATTATACAGCATGCGATTAATTTTTTCTGAGGTGCGCAGAAGTAGAAAGAATAGTTCTTAAGAGATTTATTGCAAAGGTTACCAGTGGAGCAGACAAAATCTGATAAATAATTAGAAATAAATAAGTATACGTCAAGTGCACACAATCATTATCCACAGAACAATAGAATGTTAAAAAAATACTACTATGGCGTTCATTTCGAAGCAGTTAATAACTGATTCACACCAATACACATATATAAACAAGTAGTGGGCGCTTCGGCTTTGCGTAATGGTTAGCAAACTTTTCTCGCTAGATCAATTACGATGGAATAGTGAGATCGAGCCTCACTGGGTGCTCCATACTTTCAAACTTACGTCACATCTAAGGTACGCTTAAAAAATCACAGGGTACTTCGATGTAGTGTAATGGTTAGCTTGTCTCTCTAGATAAATTAGTAAGAGGCACATTGACAGCGGAGAGATTTTAACTTTTTCTTTATATCTGAACCACGGCCGTCCAACACGCCGTTGTCCACAGTCAAGATGCTTTTTTTCATGTGGCATATTCTAAGTAAAGGGTGGCGGTGATATTGTTAGTTTTTCCTCATGTAATTTGAGTTGTATTTTGATTTTTGTGTTGTTTTGAATAGCAACATTTCTTCCCAGCCTCTGCGTATTGTGCTTGGCTGGAATTCGCGTGAGCATCTTTCAATTTAAAAAAAAAAAACAAAAAAAAAAATTTTAACAGTCCATTCCCACTGTTAAATAAAGTAAGTTTGACACTAGGAGAGTGATGTTTAATATCCACAGCCTCTCTAACAGCGAGATGTTTTCGGTAATGGGATTTATATAGAATTTTAGTGTTTTCAAACAGAATTTCTCTTTAGGGTTTGTGTAAAGTGTGGGTTGATAGATAGATAGGAGGTCGTAGTATGTAAACACTCGGGGCAATGAAAATTAGGGAAAATTTTTGTAATCCCTTTTACAAAAAGGATAAACGTAAGGATGCTGGAAAAACTAAGAAAGAAATTAATTATATCTATCTATCTATCTATCTATCTATCTATCTATCTATCTATCTCCCTCTCCCCCCTCCCCCTCTCTCTCTCCCTCTCTGACGATCCGCTTACGTGAAACCTGGCTCTCTAGGTTTAACTATATATATATATATATATATATATATATATATATATATATATATATATTGAAGCAATAGTATGCCTATCTACACTGCGAAACAGTCTGTCTGTGGATGACTATATATATATATATATATATATATATATATATATATATATGTGTGTGTGTGTGTGTTTGTGTGGGTGTGTGTGGGTGCGCGCGTGTGTGTCTCACCTGTCGATTTCGACTCATGAGGATCCGACAACGTCATTCAGTTTCTGTGTCCCGTAGATGACACTTTATTCCCGCAAGTGACCTGCAAGTACACATGTTTGTGCAACAATGAGGATTTCGGGACACAGACACAGGAATATTTGCTGACGCTTTTCGCCGTTGTCTTGCGCCTATTAGCCGGTCAATACGACTGATTTCGAAATTTATGAGGCACATGGACAACTGGGAGGCTACGCTTTAGCTTCTATTTATATCTGACACGGCCGACGAACACTTTTTTCACCACTTTCAAGCTGTTTATGCCTCATATATGTTAGACTAAGCGAAGCTTAGATGTGACTTAAGACGGAAAGTATATAGCTTGTCTTGCAACAACGACTGAGTAGTGAATTCGATCCTCAATGTGTAGCCCATGCATTCGGCCCAATACCATAACCAAGCCATGCTTACAATATAAGTGGCATCTCGACGTGGTGTAATGGTTAGCAACCTTGACTGAGTACTGAATTGAATTTCACTGGATACGCCTTATTTTCAGCCTTGTGCCACATCTAGATTGCGTTGATAATATCTCTTAATCTCTTAAAACGTTATACACCATTGATATATATATATATATATATATATATATATATTATAAATTAATTGGTTTAAAATATGTTTTTTTTCGCTACACAGTTCTAACCATGTTTCAAAAAAGCTTCCATTTTTGAAACATGGTAGAACTGTGTAGCGAAAAACACATTTTATTTCAATTAATTTATAATATTAATGCTCTGTAAGTTTACATTGAGTACTATTTTGTAAAAATAAAATATTATATATATATATATATATATATATATATATATATATATATATATATATATATATATATATGTATATATTAAAGACATTTTATGTTTAACGTTCTTTTTATAGATACAAGTATTTAAGTAAATGCTCTGTTCATAATAAACAGTATTAAATAACATTTACCGGCATATATATATATATTATGAGGCATACGGTGGAGTAGGGAACAGCGGCTCGGATTGAGGAAGCGCATAGCGGAGTTCGAATTCCAGTCGAATCCATTACATTCACTTAAACGCTAATACCCTTGGGAAAGGTATTAATGCTCTTCTTCCCCCTCCATCTATGGGTAAATAGCAGGACAGACTGGGTTCTATAGACTTGGATGGCAAGTGGTCTAGGAGAAGAAAAACTCTGAATTCAAAATCTGCGCACGGTCGTTTGGAGACATTGTGGCACATAGTGTAGCAGGTCTTGTGTATTCGGCCCTTCAAAATGTGTGGTTGGTTCTTCACCAATATAATCAAATCATATGTGCTAGTGTCTGGGCTGTCGGTTTTCTAGGAACTGAGCTGCTTGACCCTAATACATCAAAAACAACGGGAGAGTCCACCACACACACATTTATATATACTAGCAGTAGAGCCCGGCGTTACCCGGGGATGTAACAGTGAGAGATAGATCAAGTATCCACCATCATAAAGACTGAAAAATAAAATTGACAAAGATTATTGTTTAAGGTTGACGGACACGCATTCCTTAATTAGTTTTTTTTTTTTTTTTTTACGAATTGGTCAAATCCCAACTCAAACAAAGACATTATTTTCAATCGTTATGAGTCTACCGATTGAATAGAATTTTATTATAGAAAATTGTCTTGTAAATGGAATTTTTAAAGCATTCTGAATGTAAAAATAAAGAAAAAAGTGTGCAAGACAATAAGAAATACTACCTGCCAAAAAAAGTGAAGGTTTGTTGAAATCGGTTGAAAAATGTAGGAAATCCGATCCCATATATAAACGAACACACACACACACACACAACCAAGTTGGGTTTTATAATAAGTATACCTCGATAACTCGATATTAATAAGTATAACTCGATATGAGTTGTCCCCCTTTTATTAATGCCTCCTCATCGTGTTTTCAAATTGATTTCGTGCAAAAACAATTGTGTTTTTCTAATTTTTGGCGGTGTCAGAACCACCGCAAGGTAATTTTACGTAGTTCTGTGAAGTTTTGTTGAAATCGGTTGATAAATGTAGGAAATCCGATCCAATATATAAACGTACAGACACACACACACACAATCTGCGTTTTATAATAAGTAAGATATGATAAAAATGTAGTTTTCAGGTACGCTATGTATCTGGGTAAGAGCACTCGGTATCAGGGATAGAACATGTAAATATTCAGACCATAAACAGTCTGTCACCATTCAATAATGACTTCACTGTCCTTTATTTTATTTGTATATATATATATATATATATATATATATATATATATATATATATATATATTTTGATTATCCTTAAATAATAAAAGACTCCAATATGTTTAATGCGTTTCTTAACGGAGTTTTATTGCTTTCATTTTTAATTCTGCTACCCGCAGAATCTAAATTGGGCCTTATGAAGATTCATGTCCTAAAGTCTGACCTTAGCAAAAGATAGACATTTTTTTGAAAGTTGCTGCGGTGAGAGTATCTGTGTGTGTGCGCGCTTGCGTGTGAGTACGTGTGTGTTTGTTTAATTGTTTCATGTTTATTTATACATTATTTCATTTAGTTACGAAATGAAAGAAAAATTTATGTTCTATGCTTATATTTAACTTTAAGACGTTTCTAGATTGTTCCAAAATTAATTCTTTATGTCATAAAGAATATATCTTCACTATATATTAAATGCCTTTCTGCCGAATCTTTGTCAAAACCCAGGATTTGAAAATTTAAAAAGATTGAAATAATTTAATAACATTAAGTAGATTTTCTTCAAGTAAAAAATATCTAATAACATGATGTTATCAATGCTATATATAAATGTTGTAGCCTAGGGAAGGTTACTGAATAGAATAATCACACGAAGGTTGGTAATGAACGATAATACTTAGGACAAGAACAACTCGTATAAGATTAGCCAGTTGCGCTTAGAAGTAGTAGTCAACTGCTAGAAGTGAGTCAAGTGAATTCCACAGTGAATCTCCAACTACAGGATATCTACCAACCGCCCCACGTGGTCAGATGTGGCACAAGGCCGAATTTAATGTGGGGTATCCGAGCTCGTAGCCTCGGCCAAAAATTCCCCGTAGACGCCATACAAAACAGGGTCGGGGAGCTGTTTTCCGAGACGAGACTCTGCCCTTCGACATAGCCTCGTCTGGATATCCTCGCTGCTCGGATGCAGAGAGTTTGGTCAGCACAGTTGGAGACGAATCTCCAACTCCAGACCAACATACAGTATTTACTACTGTATTTATTTGAATGGGGACATACCCATTATCTTCTGTTGGTATGCTGCAACAATAAGGAAATCTTTGAGAGTTTTTGGCTGTTGGCTCAGTTTGTCAAGGTCTGCGCGTGCATATGATCCGAGAATTGTTTTTAAGTCTCATAATTTTATTACTTGTGGAAATTTTCAATATCTCCCAAATATATATTTTATTCATGCAGGGTTATTCTTCAGCGGAAACGTCTCGTTGAATCATTAATCGTATGGCAACTTGACAGTAGGTGAAAGCACGTGTCCTAAATAATTTGCGATGTTCCAAACAAGACGATTTTGTGCTCGACGTTATTTAAAAGCAAGACGATTTGAAAATTATTCCAATTTTCAAAGCCAGTTTGTGCGCAGGCAACACATGAACATTCATTGAAATAATCGAAGATAAATCACAGTCCCATTTTAAATGTGCATTTTCTTTCCTAGAAAGAAATTGTTAGTGGATGACTGAGAATTCCAATACGTTCCAAATGCAATACTGCAATCGATGATAAGTTTCAGAATGGAAGTTTCCCCAAATGAAGATTATATCATGATCAAAACACCATCACTTTCGTATCAGACAAGACAACTTAAAAAGTCTCTGTTACAACAAAGGGGTGACATCTAACAATTTTTCGAAGAATCAAATTACGAATTATTCTTTCATGACAGCAGACACAATTTGATTGAAAGATGGCAGAATATCATAGAAAGCCGGGGAAAATGTTATTTGATTATTGAATCATAACGATATGAAAATATGCAAATAATAGATTTGGTCAGATAATGCTAAAAGTATTATATCAATCAAATATGTAAGCACTTGGAGATAAACATGTAGAAGGTAAGATTCTGGATGCTTCAATGTCGAAGTCAAGTGATCTTTTGTCATTTCGTTTTAGTCCATCTAATTCTTTTCGTTTCTTTTGATCCAGAACCAAGACAAAACTCAAAATGTATAAACACATCTCATTTTGACGCTTCTACTTGACGGCTCAATACAAAAGTAGAGTAATAAATATTGATTTGTTATGTAGTTCAAATTATTACTTTCCTTTTGTATTGAGCCGTCTTTTAAATTATTGTTTTGGACGCTGAAATCTTATTCTTAATTCTTTTACATTTGGAGATCGATCGATCAATCTATCTATCTATCTATCTATCTATCTCTATCTCTCTCTCTCTCTATATATATATATATATATATATATATATATATATATATATATATATATATATATATATGTATGAGTGCGCAGGTATGCAGAAAATAAAAAAAGAACACGTTAGGTGCATAATCCGGACTTCCTTAGTATTTTGTTTTTTATTTTAATTTCAATTCAACAATTTTAATAATTATTTGGATGGTTTCGGCTCTCGTTTTTTGAAAATGGCAACTCTTATGTAGAAAGGAATCATATTTTTAAACTAAAAATATTATAATATATATATATATATATATATATATATATATATATATATATATATATTGTTGATAAT